TAACTTTTACATTATTCTGAAGCTAAATATCATGACAGTTTAACCAACTTCTCCCTACCCTTTAAAAAGTACACCTAAAGGTTAGCCACTTGCTAAAAACTACATTACATAATAAATCATTAATGGCTATTACTTCATGTAAGTGTTGCATATTAAAATAACTTAAATGGGCTTTTATATATTAGAAGTTAATTTTCTACTCTTGCTTATCCTGCAGTAAAATAGAAACATCATTTGCAACATTTAAAGGAAAACCAGTTTAAAGTACAAAATCATTTTGAAGTATTTAATTTTTATGAGACAATTTCTTAAGAGGATGGAAAATAAAAGGGTATTTAAACTACGGACAAAGTGTCCTCTTCTTACCATGACCTGGGACAGACACTGGATTAGTACCGGTCTGCACTAGAAATGAGCTGGCAGTATAGTCCTCATCTGTATCAGAGTCCTGAACTGGCTGGCTGGCATTATTACTTAATAACCACCTCTGGTTGTCATGGAGATTGGGTGATGGAGGAGGGGAGTGTAAATGTTCAGTAACTGATGGACTAGATGAGGAGGATGGCATGGGAGGACCTATAAAAAATGAAAAAAAATTTAAAATATGAGTTAAGATGTTACATGAAAAACAAATCATCGATATTTTGCATCACCAAAAGGCGAATAGTCTACTTCAAACAATAAAAAGAGACGGACAAAGAAAATAAGACAATTGCCTGCAATAAACTGGCTTAAGTGCTCTAGAAAACGTAACGCAATGCCATGACTTGATATTTCAATGAACAGTGTTTATCATACAGGGCTGCTTCTTTCAGTGGGACACTCCTGTCTAAAATATACTTAAGAAAGAAAATAACACATATGAGCAAACAAGGAGGACCAATTATCCAAGCTCATACATACAGGGAAATTGACCACTCTAAATTTCTACTATGTCAGTTATTCTGACAGAACGTTCAGTTTTCAGCAGTGTTTCTCAGACCCATATAGGACTGAAAACCTATCAAAATATTTCACCTGTCAAACTTGAGTCCATCTGCATCAGTTGTTTTTAAACATGCATATGCAGTAACTACATCGTATTTCTGCATCTTGCAAGTATCTTAAAGGCATCATGGAGGAGGACAGATTTCAATAAACCTTTAGGATATCATATCAATGCGTTTAATCCTTCAATTAAACAATAATTAAACCAGAATGCAGCAGAGAAAGAGTTACCTAAATTAACCTTGAAGATATGGAGTTTTTATAGTCTTTACTGAGCTCAGATTTTACTCTGAGAGAGTAAGACTGCTGGACTGCTTTTGAATAAAGTGTTACGTTACCTGTAGGTCGGGAATTGCACCAGAATATGAAGTAGCTTTAATATGTAATTGGTGTTTTTTAAAAAAATTGGATTTACCTGCATGGTTACAATTCATAACTATGACTCTAAACTTAAATTAGATGAAAAGGGGCTTTCTTTTTCATTATGTAATGATTTGTTTTTATGGTACTCAGTAGTACAGTTATGCTGGAGAGGTGCTGCACCTCTCAGTGTTATGTTTATTACAATAAATCATATTGGTACCAATAGCTTGAATTACCATTACCATCTCCCTTGTACACTGCTAGAATCATGCTAATTACTATTTTTTTCTCTTTCCTATTCAGTCTATCACATCGCATAGTATCTTAAATATCTCTAGAACACGTTGCTGAGCCCTAACCTACTGGTTTCCCTGGAAAGAAACCCATGACAGCCTCACCACAAACTGCTTAATACTTTCAAATGTCATTTATCTCTTGTACTGAATAGCACAATATATCTCATTATTACCAATTTAACATGCAGGTTTGCTTCTGAAAGGCAAGTGAGCACTTACTATTACTCAAGTAACTTGTATGTAAAACCCAAGGTTTATAGTCAGGGAAATAACAGGGATAGGGGAATAACATTTCACAGGGCTCAACTTGTGATTTTGGAAGTAGGGAGTGGGCACGTTTTCTAGATCAAGATAAATTGCCACCAGATTTTCTTATTACACCTTGATTTTTTTACATTGCTTCCTTCAGTATCCTGGATTTGTGGGTATTTCTTGATGGAGCATTTAATGCATTTTTTATGATGTACCCAAATGGATTTAGGTACCCATTATACTTCATTTTTTCAATAGTTGCAATAATAGTTAAGAGTGGTGGGTTTTTTTCTCAAATACAATTCAGCTCCATGTTTTTTTGTTGTAGTTGCTGTTTGGTTGGGGAATTTTTTTGCTTGAAACAAATCTTTATTTGCTTTGGACTTCTCTGATGAGAGAGGAGAGCTATAGTAATATGTTCCAGATGTCTATATATAATGTCTGAAGCAAATCAGCATCTCAGTAATATCTTTGGACCTTATGCACAACACTGCTCTCAATATGCTTCCTCTCTCCTTCTCAATTTACACTCATTAACTTTCAGACACAACAGAGCCTTGATTGCACAAACCATAATCATACAAAATATCCTGTTGCCTGAAGAAGTGTCATGCCCAAGGTTCCCTAATTGTTTTGTAAATTCCCTCACTTAACCAAATTTTTTAATTCTCTCACTGCTACATCGCTCATTGACACTGCACTGATGAGTAGCCATTCAGAACAAGGATCACTTGGGTGCTCTAGTGTACATGTGTCATGTGTCAGGTAGAAATGTGAGGCTACTAGCAAAGCTCCCACTACTGATACTCAGTGGGGAGAGATCTCTGCTACTGCAAAAATCAGGTCATTAGGGCAGGCAGGTCTTATAATCATAGAATCATTTAGGTTGGAAAAGAACTTTCAGATCATTGACTCCAACCTTTAACCCAGCACTGCCAAGTCCATCACAAAACCATGTCTGTAAGTGCCATTTCTACGTATCTGTTAAATACCTCTGAGGATGGACACTCAACCACTTCCCTGGGCAGCCTGTTCCAAAGCACAATAACCCTTTCAGTGAACAAATGTTTCCTAATATCCAAGCTAAACCTCCCTGGCACACTGCTGGCTTGTGTTTAGCCAGCTGTTGACCAGCATCCCCAGGTCCTTTTGTGTTGGGCAGCTTTCCAGCCCCTCTTCCCCAAGCCTGCTGTGTTGCAAGGAGTTGTGACCTAAGTGCAGGACCCAGCATTTCACCTTGCTGAACCTCAGACAAGTGGTCTTGGCCCATCAATCCAGCCTGTCCTGACCCCTTTGTGGAACCTTCACACCCTCCATCAGATCAACACTTCTGCTCAACTTGGCATCATCTGCAAGCTTGCTAGGGGTGCACTCAATCCCCTCATCCAGATCATCAAGAATGAGTTTAAACCGTACTGGCCCAATACTGAGCCCTGGGGAACACCACTCATGACTGGCTGCCAGCTGGATGTAACTCCACTCACCACCACTCTTTGGACTTAGCCATCCAGCCAATTTTTAACACAGCAAACACTGCACCCATCCAAGCTCCCTCTGAGGCACTCAACCACTTCCCTGGGCAGCCTGTTCCAAAGCACAATAACCCTTTCAGTGAACAAATGTTTCCTAATATCCAAGCTAAACCTCCCTGGCACACTGCTGGCTTGTGTTTAGCCAGCTGTTGACCAGCATCCCCAGGTCCTTTTGTGTTGGGCAGCTTTCCAGCCTCTCTTCCCCAAGCCTGCTGTGTTGCAAGGAGTTGTGACCTAAGTGCAGGACCCAGCATTTCACCTTGCACAATAACCCTTTCAGTGAACAAATGTTTCCTAATATCCAAGCTAAACCTCCCTGGCACACTGCTGGCTTGTGTTTAGCCAGCTGTTGACCAGCATCCCCAGGTCCTTTTGTGTTGGGCAGCTTTCCAGCCTCTCTTCCCCAAGCCTGCTGTGTTGCAAGGAGTTGTGACCTAAGTGCAGGACCCAGCATTTCACCTTGCTGAACCTCAGACAAGTGGTCTTGGCCCATCAATCCAGCCTGTCCTGACCCCTTTGTGGAACCTTCACACCCTCCATCAGATCAACACTTCTGCTCAACTTGGCATCATCTGCAAGCTTGCTAGGGGTGCACTCAATCCCCTCATCCAGATCATCAAGAATGAGTTTAAACCGTACTGGCCCAATACTGAGCCCTGGGGAACACCACTCATGACTGGCTGCCAGCTGGATGTAACTCCACTCACCACCACTCTTTGGACTTAGCCATCCAGCCAATTTTTAACACAGCAAACACTGCACCCATCCAAGCTATGAGCAGCCAGTTTCTCCAAGAGAATACTGTGGGAGACAGTGTCAAAGGCTTTACTAAAGTCCAGGTAGACAACATCCACAGCCCTTTTGTCATCCACTAAGTGGACCATTTTGTCATAGAAAGAGACCAGGTTGGTCAAGCAGGACCTGCCTTTCATAAACCCACGCTGTTTGGGCCCAATCCTCTGTTTGCCCTGTAGATGCCACATGATAGCACTCAAGATGGTCTGTTCAGTAACTTTTCCTGGCACAGGGGTCAGGCTGACAGGCCTGTAGTTCCCTATCCCTGTCTTCCAGTTCAGGGTGCTGGGATCCTTGAGGACAACTGGTCTTACTGTTAAAGACTGAGGCAAAGAAGGCATTAAGTTACCTCAGCTTCTTCCTCATCCTTTGTCAATGTATTTCCCCTCAGCATCCCATAAAAGATGACTATTCACCTTAGCCCTCCTTTTGTTGCTTTCTTGCCACAAAGTTACATGGTCTGCAGAGAAAAGGAAGTCAGCTATAATATGAGCCAGTTTTTCACAAGAACCCTAGGCCAACCAGCTGGGACACGTATTTCTGTACAACTTCATCCAGCATTGGCAGATTTCGGCAGTGAGCTCCTCTTTGATTCCAAGTGAAAAGACAGATAGCTATCTATACTGCCATTTATAGAATAAGTTACACGTTAAGAAAAAAACCCACAACTTAACACACTTTCTAGAGGAATTTTAAATCATGTGCATATTCCTTTCCAATTTTTTTACATGGAATGACAGGCATTTAAAAATATTTGGTAATACCTCTCATTGAAGTCTTAACAAACATATTTAGAAATAACAATCGTTAAGTATGACAGAAGACAATTATATTGATTACAACATTTTTCCATACAGCTTGGAGAGACAGAACACAAAAAATACTTCATTGTAAGAAAACCAGTGAAAATACAACTATTGATTTTCTTACCCTGTTCTGATTCTTTCAGTATATGCCTAGTAACAATATCTGTTGTTCTGCTTTGACTTTCTTGCCCGTATTTTAAAAAAGCAAAAGTTCTTGTTTTTACTATGTGACTTTGATGCAAGAATAAGCTATTTTTCACCAGCAAGTACACTGGGATTAAGAGTACTTAAATCGCATGTTTAAGGCCAGTTAAGAGGATAACCACACTAACTTTTTGGCATTTTCATAATTGAAAAAACATGATTTTCAACGATATTTAAGTACTTCTAAAAAACTAACTCAAATGAAAATGCAAAAAAGATTTACAGAAAATATAGGCAAACTCCAGCAAGAACAGATTCAATATAGCAATATGAGAAAAGGTGAATAAATTTGCTAAGGAAATAATATGAATCCCCAAAGAAAATAAAACCCAAAGAAAACT